GTAATCTCCAAACTGGGTGGGGCTCTGGCCAGGGGAAGAGTCAGAGAGCACCAAGACGTGATAGGGCCAGCAGGGCCCAGAGGAAAGTCCCCGGAACAGCACCTTGAAAGGGGAAGACACGGCATCACCACACAGGGCCCACCAGCCCCTGAGAGAAAGCTTTGGCCATGTCTGTCTCCACATTCTAGAGTCCAGTCCACATCTAGTGGGGGCATCTGTCTCAAAGTCCTCTCCTCTTCTTGGAATCGCTTCCCCTTTTCTTTTGAAGGTGATGGTGGGAGACAGCTGGGGATAGAGTGGGAACCAAAACCTTGCTCTTACCCAGAGGGACATGAGGAAGGAGGGGTCTGTACCTCTGGTTTCTCTGTCCTCTCTGTCCTTATTTCTGGATAAGCCTGCTCAACCTAAAGCAGGGCCTCCTCTCTCCCTGCCCGGGCTCTGCATGCCCTGTCCTCATTGGCCATCCCAGCACCATTGTTCCTGGGTTTCTCAGGTGGCAACCATCTGTTTGAAACTAGCTCTTGGCTTTCTCCCTCTGGATTGGATGCCCTGCTGGAGTGGGGGAATCCACAGAACTCTTTCCTTTCCAGTGTCTGGAGCCAACCATTCAGCTTCTCTTTAGCCATGGCTGATCTTGGTTTCCCAAGGTTATACATGAGAGACAGAGGTCCGTAAAGGCTCATGGGAGTATAAACACTCAAACTATGGTCCTGGAGGTCCCAGCCTGACCCTGCTATCAAGACTCTGAGAAGTGTTACATGTTTTCTTTAATTCTTTTAAAGGCTTCTTGAAGTTTATGATTTTCTACTGGGTACAAGGCAAACAGAGCTGTTGAGATAAGAAAGCACATGAGTGACTTGACAGCATAGGATACGCATCTTGTCTTAATTTTTAATGTTTTTTTTTCATTTTTTTAATGTTTTGTTTGTTTTTAATGTTTTGTTTTGTTTTTTTAATTAAAAGAACGTGACTACATCACTTATTACAACCTGCCTGGTCTACAGGGAAAGTAGGAGACCTGGGGTGGGGGAGGGAGGTCTGCCTTCTAAGGTACTTAGGTATGCGTGTGCACACGCCCGTACACTGGGGGTTATGCTGGGTGGTAGAAAGGGCCTCTGCTACTAGGAAGGGTTTTTGCCAGGCTTAATGCTGGTCATTTCCCTATGGCTCCTGAGCCAGATGGCCACAGATGGTGCTGCAGGTGGTCTGGGGCATTCTCACTGCCCTTGTGGACTCCAGTAGTCCTGGAGGGGAGAGTGAGTTTCTTAAAGAAGATTCCTAACTAGAGGTCTGGATTGGTCTAGGAAAGATCAGGACAGGTGTCCATGTGCGTTGCAGTGGGAGTGAAAAAATCTGGGTGCTGTAGGTAGTAATTATGCACAACCCTGAGGGAGATGCTGAGGAGTATGGCTGACCTGGCTTGAGGGAGGGGTGCTAGGCCACAGGACCCAGTGCAGAGGAGAACACAGTCGGATCCCTCTACCCCACCAAGGATGCTCAAGGACTTCTGGTGGTACTGCATCTTGAGAGACTATTGTCTGTAAAAGAGGGCGGAGGGGCATTACACCCTCACCCGGCATGGGCTGCTCCATCATTTGCCATTCAATAAACATTCAGTAAATACCCACCCTGCCAAACTCAGATGGGCCCTGAGAAGCAAGAAGTGAATAAGGCAGCATACCCTACCCTCGGGGGCCTGAAGTCTGGAAGAGGAGACATAAATAAACACATCATTGCAGCAGAGGTAGGGGATGAGGCAATTGAGGTATACAGAAGGTGCCATGGGAGCCCTGAGGCATGGCCACCAAGGAAGTCTGGGCTGAGTCACAGGGACTGGAGGTCTGAGTGCAGCCTGACTCGAAACCACCGCAACTGCTGCCCTGGGTGGAAAAAGGACCAGCAAGGAGGGAGAGGCCCGCTATGGGCAGCACTGATAATGTCCCCGCCAGTGTGTGCCCGAGGCTGATAAGGCACGTACCGTGGCACTGGTCTTGCCTCTGCACAGAGCTGTCCAGCACAGGGAGGGGAGGAAAGTCAGCCACTTCTTAACTGAAAGATTGTAATACAACTTTTGGGATCTTGGGGCAATTACTCTGGGTCATGGGATCCCAACAATCAGTCATCCAGCAGCATGATTCTGGGGAGAAAACCTAGGCAAAAGGAGAAGTGAGATTTGAAACATGAACAGGAGGAATGGGTCCTACTCCCAAAGATGCCGGCAGCCTTCTGAGTCAGACTAAACAATCCAAGGGTCGGGGCTGTGAGAGCCGCAGCAGGGATAGCCAGTGTCATACCAGCACTGAGTGTGACCCCAGACAATACTGGCTACCTTCCGAGTGTGTTCCAGCACAAACACACCCATCCACAGCTCCTCCAGGCGCTGGCCAGAACAGGCACTCTGCCTGGAAAGGGAGAGGGCCAACATGGGAGCCTCCTAGGCAGAAGAGGGGAATTGGATTAGGATGGCCAGAGCCTACAAAGAAGAAAGCACAGGAACCAGTCCCTGAAGGGTGGTAGGAAGAAAGAGGACTGCTGAGCTGGGGAAGCAGCCCTTCATCTCCAGCTGCATTTGTGTGGAATGTAGTTCTGTGTCTCTGGGCCTGGGGGAGAGGTAACACTCAGTCACACCCAAAAAGTACTGGCCTCTGGGAAGGTCAATGTCCCAGGGACACTGGGACACAGAAAGATGCATCCTTAGATCCAGTCCCAGGTCTTGAAGAAAAACAGTTCCCCAAAGTGATGCATTCATCTTTAAATAGTTCACAGAGGCAGAAAATTTTTCTCCTTTCGAGCAGAAAGATTAAGGACAGAGAGACAGATATATTGGCTTAGGGTCACACAGTAAGTTGATGCCAGAAAGGAACTGGGCCTCTTGTCCTTCATTGTGCTATTTCTAGAGCTTCTGACTTTTTATGAGTCTAAAGTAGGGCTAAGAAGGGGCTCTTCTCTAATTTGGGAAGGTGCCAGCTTAGTTAGCCAGGTCCTCTGACCCTGAATGAATCATTTTTACCAAGGTAAATGGGTCTATGGAGCCACACTCTTTCCCTGACTGCAACCTCCCAAAGCCATTTGTCTGGTAAAAGGGGGGTGGGGGTGGGGAATAGGGTGGGGGAATCTAAGAAAATGACCATGAACGCAAGTGTAACAGATGTATCCAGCTGTTGTCACTGGGGAACACAGATAAGGGTGAATTGCCAAGGGCTCAAAGAGGAAGCGGTCTCAGCTGACAGAGAAACTCAGAATGAGGATCTGAGGTCCCTGGGATGCTAATGCTGGCTCTGAGGATGGTATGTCATCCCCAAAAATGGCATGTTCCTGGCCTGGAACATTCAGTGAGCATGGAGGAGGGCTCACGGGGACTTGCCCTTAGGCGGGGAGTTTCCCTTAGAACATCCCCCAGCCCCGGCAGAGCGGTGGTGGGTTTTTGTCTGTTCTTCCCTAACCTCCGGCTGAGGCAGACCCTAGACCATGGGAAGTTGGGTTAACTAGGAATACTAAAGGCCCAGCTACAGTAGCAGTCATCTGGGCCCCGGACTTCCCCTAGAGGCACTGTACCTCAGTAGAAAAACCACCAGATCAAACTTATTAACCAGCTGTCAGATGTTGGATAATTAACATCTCTGTGCTTTAGTTTTCTCATATATAAAATGTGGGTGCTGGACAGGATATCTCCTAGATTTTTTTTTCCCAGTTCTAAAACTGAGAATTTGTTAGGAACTCAAACTTCATTTTTTTCCCAGTACAATGGCTGAGCTCTTACCACCACCCTCTGGGGTTCCTCTCATTTGTCCCAACAGGCTAGCACTTATGTACTTTGTGTCTGTTCTTCAAACCACCGCCCCTGTGAACCTTTCCAGCAACTGGCTTAGATGCTTGGTCTGCTCCCTCTCCTAGGAAACATATTTTAGACTCAAGCTTTCTCCCTCCTGCAAGTCTGAACTTTTGGTCTCAGGCTGAAATGGACAGGGATAATGGGCACCTACAGCAGCCGCTCTGGCATGGCTGGAGCTGGAAGAGAAAGGGGGATGGGAGAAGGACTTCTCTATGTTCTCAAACCCAGAGGAGCTCAGGAACTCTACAGACATGAAACAGGATTGAGCTAGCATTTCATGATCTGCTCCAGCTGGATTCCCGGCTCCAGCAGAGTGTTTCTGCCATTCCTGATCATACTGGGTTTGATTTTATGGAGGAGGGAACTAGGGCCTACAGAGACGAACGTCAAGTCAACAACTACACGTTGGAGACGAGAATCCAGATGGGCCCAGTCCAATATTTTTTCCACTTTTCCACACTAATTGTAAGATTCTGAAAGGACTACTGGCCTTTAACAGGGTCCAGTTAAAAGAAGCTGAAGACTATCAGGCTCCAGAGGATGGAGTCTGGTCCTGAGAAAGGTGGGGCAAAGTTTGGGACAGTGCTGGGAAAGACATCCACATCTGGAGGCCATTCCTGCCCCTTCTCAGCCTTTGGGAAGAGGGGGGCACCAGAGGCCTCCAAAAGGAAAAGATGAAGCCCTTTAACCTATCCTCTCTGAGGTAAGGGGGAGGGAAGGTCTGGGTTTTCCCCCCTTCCTCTTTTTTTCTTTGCTGCTCAGCCTCCCAGCCCCCAGGCCTGAAAGTCCCCCAAACATGAATGTACCATTGGATCTGCTTTGAGCCAACAGGAAAACCCGCTTCTCCTGCGAAAACCCATTATTTTGGCCTGTCACAGATCCTCATCAAACGACCAGAGGATACCCGTTAAGTCTTTACTGAATCTCTTGCATTATCCTCCCCCTCTCCCCACCCCCAACATCCCCTCCAGACGCGGTGCCAGTATGGTGTCCCTCCCCAGGATAAATTACCCCAAAGTGTCATCAGCCCAGAAAACTAAGCAGTGGCGTTCACGACGCTCGCCTTTAACCTGGCATCCCGGGACGACCCTCCTCGGCCGTGGACAGCTCACTGCACCTTCGAGGGGTGCCCTGCAGCCCAGGTGCCCCCAAGACCCCCACGACTCACCCAGAAGAGCATGTTGAAGAAGAAGAGCAGGTATTTCACCAGCGGGCTGACGAAGGTGAACTCCTCCCCATAGCCGGCCGGCGCCCCGGGTCTCCGGGCCATGGTCCCGCCGCCGTCCCCCCGGGGGCCTATCTCCCCGCGGCGGCCGGCCCACCTGCGCGCCCTGCGCCCCGGGGCATGAGCCGCGCCACCGCGGGAGCCTGGGAGGCGGGGGAGCTGCGCCGCGGTGGGAAATGCCCGAGCCGTGCGTCCGGGAGGAGCGCCGCCGCCGGGAGTCGCGGGAGCGGCGGCTGGCAGCGTGAGCGGCGGAGACTCCGCGGCGGCGGGAGGACCAGCCTGGCCCGCCAGGCTCCCAGGAAACCGAGCCCGCCCCTGGCCGCCCATTGGCGCAGCCGCCGAAGACTGACTTCTCATTGGTCGGTCGCTGATGTCACTAAGCGTCCCGCCATCCCTCTCCTCCGAAAGGCGGGGGAGACACCTGTTCTGTGAGGGACAACTTGTTAAAGGGTCAGTGGTTCTGCCGCCTCCCCCGAGAAGGGAAGCATCCAGGCAGCAGCTGCTCAAGGGAAAGGGGATGAGATGGAATGCACACTGCATTACACACCCATGTCCTCTACCCTGTTGCTGTACACACCTGCAAACACACATGCCTTAAAATCAACAAGTACGTACGTCGTGTGTTCAGCAATGCGCCCAAAGCTGTGGGAATACAAAAGAAGAGAGAGAATCCCCGGGGAGAGGACAATAAAATCAAGGAGACAAAACTAACCTACATGTAACAACTAGAAGATATTTAAGAGTAACGGCAATCCGGTTTAGAAACTATATATTTTAAATGCTTATTTCAGAAGCTCTGGAACCCACTAGTGGAAATTTGGAAGCATCACCAGCAATCCTGCCATCTCAGTTCATTACGGTTTCAACCCCCCTCCCCGCCCCCTTCCTATTTCCGTAGAATCTTGGTCTATGGACAGACACTGTTCTTAACGTGTTGATCTGACACAAACAGGTTGAGTGCAGTGTAGTAGTGGGCATTGTGCTGGCTAACATAAGTAATACGAACAAGAATGCTATTAATTGAATATTTGTACCCTCCCCCCATTCATATTCCTAACCACCTCCTCCCCACGTGATGGTATCAGGAAAAGAGGCCTTTGGGAGGTGCTTAGGTCATGAGAATGGAGTCCTCATGAATGGGATTAGTGTCCTTATAAAAGAGACCCTAAAAGAGACCCCAAAAGAGACCCCAGAGAGCTTCCTCACGCCTTCCACCATGAGAGGACAGGGAAAAGACAGCTGCCCAAGAACCAGGAAATGGCTCTCACCAGACAGGAGCCTTGATCTCGGACTTACCCTGCAACCAGCATTGTGAGAAATAAGTTTCTGCTGTTCATAAGCTACCCAAGCTGCGGTATTTTTGTTATAGCAGCTTAAATAGACTAAGGAAGATTCCACCCTTAGTTACAAGACCCTGGGCAAGCTACTTGATGTCCCTGAGCCTCAGTTTCTTCAATGTTAAATGGGAAAGTCCTGTCCTACAATGTTGATGTGCAGATTAAACAAGATAATGCATGCAAATCACTTAGCATAGGCTGGCACATTGAAGGGTTCACTCAAGGCAATATTTTGTTTGAGCAGAATTTAGAATCCAGTAGGGAACTACGATAACGACACAAATAACTACAGCACATTTATTTGGTGGACAGTTAGTGAAGATATCATAGAAAGTGAAATCAGAGGAGGAAAAGACTTAAGATAGAAGAGATGAAAGGGAAGAGTAATCTAGGTGGACAAAAGGGTGAGCCAGAGACTGGAAGTGTAAAAACACACTGTGTGTTTATTGAAAAATAACCAGACTGGTTTGGCTAGAGCATTGGATAAGCTTAGTATAGCAGTAGAAGATAACATGGACTGATGCCAATACATGTTAAATTAAGTTAAAAATCATTGGAAGGGCTTGAATGCCAGATTGGGGAGTTGGTGCTTCATTGGTTTTGAAATAAAAGGTTGGGTTTTTAAAAAGATTTTATTTTTTATTTTTTTTAAAGATTTTATTTATTTATTTGAGAGCAAGACAGTGAGAGAGAACATGAGCGAGGAGAAGGTCAGAGGGAAAAGCAGACTCCCCATGGAGCTGGGAGCCCGATGTGGGACTCGATCCCGGGCCTCCAGGATCATGACCTGAGCTGAAGGCAGTCGTCCAACCAACTGAGCCACCCAGGCGTCCCAAGATTTTATTTTTTGAGGCACCTGGGTGGCTCAGTGGGATAAAGCCTCTGCCTTTGGCTCAGCTCATGATCCCAGGATCCTGGGATCCAGCCCCACCCACACCAGGCTCTCTGCTCAGCAGGGAGCCTGCTTCCTCCTCTGCCTGCCTCTCTGCCTACTTGTGATCTCTGTCTGTCAAATAAATAAATAAATAAATAATTTTTTTAAAAAGATTTTATTTTTAAGTAATCTCTACACCCAATGTGGGGTTTGAACTTACAATCCTGAGATCAAGAGTCACATGCTCTACAGAATGAGCCAGACTAGCATCCCCAGAAATAAGTTTTGAAGAAGGAATGATGTAAGATCTGTTTTTTGTTCTTTGTATTTTGTTTTCATTTAGAGTGGGAAAGAGGCTGCAGAGAGGAAGGTTTGTTAGGAGACCATTATTAATGGTCTAGATAATTAGATATATATGTGTATCTATCTATCTATCTATCTATCTATATATAATATATATGTGAATATTACTCAGCTAACAAAAAGGATGAAATCTTGCCATTTGCAATAACATGGATGGAGCTAGAGTATATTATGCTAAGCTAAATAAGTGAGAGAAAGACAAATACCATGTGATTCTACCCATATGTAGAATTTAAGAAGCAAAACAGATGAACATATGGGAGGGAGAAAAGGAGATAGAAAGAAACAAACCATAGGAGACTCTTAATAAGAGAACAAACTGAAGGTTGATGGAGGGAAGTGGGTGGGTGATGGTCTAGATGGGTGATGGGTATTAAGGACATTTGTTTTGATGTGGGCTGGTTGTTGTATGTAAGTGATGAACCACTGAATTCTACTCCTGAAACAGATATTGCATTCTAAGTTAACTAATTACAATTTAAATAAAAGTTTGGGGGAAAAAAAAGAATCAATGGGATGACCCACTGTCCATCAAGGATGGTGCTATGTAGTAGGAAGACATAAAGCTGTAGAAAAAAGAATGAGCAAACGCTCCGTATACCAAGAGCAATCTCCAAAATAAATTACTAAGTGAAAAAAGCAGTGATGGGGCACCTGGGTGGCTCAGTGGGTTAAAGCCTCTGCCTTCGGCTCAGGTCCTGATCTCAGGGTCCTGGGATCGAGTACCGCATCGGGCTCTCTGCTCAGCGGGGAACCTGCTTCCTTCTCCTTCTCTCTCTCTCTCTCTCTGCCTGCCTCTCTGCCTACTTGTGATCTCTGTCTGTCAAATAAATAAATAAAATCTTTAAAAAAAAAAAGCAAAGTGAGGAACAGTGTATATAATGTATAACATTCTCATTTTTAAAAAAGACAAAATATGAAATGACATTTGTATTTGCTTGCATCTACCTAAATAAACTCTGGAAAGCACAAAAGACACTGAGGAAGGAGGTTATGGCCTAGAGTAGATGAGAACCGAGATGTGAAGAAAGAGAATTTCCACTGTGCGCCATTTTATTTTTTCTGAGTATATTAACTCTTCAAAGCATCAAATTAAAAAAATTACATCCCTATTATGACATGCAATGCAGCCATTTAAAATAATGTGGAAAATATAGATAGTGACTTGAGAAAAGTTCCATGATACAGAAAGTGCAAAAAAGCAGATGGTAGAATAAAGTATATATAAAGTATCTGATAACCAGGAAAGGTCTTTGACTTATTTCAGGTCCTTGGAAGGCATTTTATTTATTTATTTATTTATTTATTTATTTATGAGGAGATAGAAATTTATTGAATACACTGCAAGGGAGCCCAGGCAGGACAGTTGAAAGGTATTTTAATCACTTGGACCATATGATGTGGCCACTTCAATTGAAATCACAAAGATTACGTGATAATACGTAATATGGAAAAATGTAAGTGGAAAATAGCTTATTCACAGTATTATAGTATTACACAATATGTGTAAATATTGATAAACCAAAGAAAATGTAAAAGCAAAGTTATTTGCACTGATGTGGTAGGATGTATAGCAGTTTCTAACTTTAAAATTGTGTTTTATATTATTTATGTGATTATGAACAGAATTAAAATATTTGAACAATATTTCTGTAAAGCGAAAAACAAAACAAAAAAACCCTAGTCACATGGCTGGAGCTAATGTTGGCAAGAGAGTGTGTGAAGGCAGGAAGGGTGCCAAGGAGGAAAGAAGATGCAGATCCGAAGCTTTGGGAAGGAGGAGCTTGAAGTAGAACAGGGCAGGAGACTGGAAGGAAGGCCATTCAGCAGTCATGAAAGCCCAGCTGGGGTGGCTGATGACTTTGTGGTGGTCCCAGTTAGCCACGTTGGTGATTTCCTCTAAAAAACAGGTGGTAGCCTGGAGAGCCCACCATGAGAACTGCAAATGCTGGGAACTGCAAAAAGGCAAGTAAGTGATTCAGTGATGATTTGAAACATGAAGTTGAAAAGCCCATCTGTGGGTTCTAGGATTGTAAAAGAATTCACTGCTGGTATGTGAGTCTAAGAGAATCACGAGGCAAATCTATTTAGTGTTTTAAACTTTTTTCCTCGTTATTTTCATTTTTCTTTAAGATTTTTATTTATTTATTTGACAGACAGAATTCACAAGTAGGCAGAGAGGCAGGCAGAGAGAGAGGGGGAGGCAGGCTCCCCGCCGAGCAGAGAGCCAGATGCGGGGCTCGATCCCAGGACCTGGAGACCATGACCTGAGCCGGAGGCAGAGGCTTTAACCCACTGAGCCACCCAGGCGCCCCGCATTATTTTAATTTTTTATTGATATGTAACATATCTATAAAATGCATTGTTCCCTTATTTATGTGCCCTTCCTTCTACCTGTTGCACATGTTCTTTTAAAATCTGAGATCAGGGGCTCCTGGATTGCACAGTTAGTTTAGTCACTGACTCTTGATTTTGGCTTGGACCTGATCTTAGGGTGGTGAGATTGAACCCGAGTTGGGCTCTGTGCTCAGTGTGGAATTTACTTGAGATTCCCTCTCTCTCTGCCCCTCCCACTTGTGCTCTCTCTCTCTCTCTCTCTAAAATAAAATAAAAAGTCTTTTTAAAAAATTAGAAAAAATAAAATCTGAGGTCAATATAAAACTGTATGTCCAGAATAACTACAGTTTTATAAAGTAAAAAGA